CACGTTTGCTGCTACCCTGTGACTTCCACGGGTCCCTCGTTCCACTAGGGATGGCAGAAGACTTGGAAGAGTATGCTAAGTGAGAGAGAGAGAGAGAGAGAGAGAGAGAGGGAGAGAAAGGATGGGGGAGGTGTGAGTCAGGGCGAGAAGCAGATGGAAGGCCGCCCTCCACTCCCAATCTGTGCTGAGGGAAGGGATGAGACACGAGCTGCTGGACAGTAGCACAAGCTACTCCTTGACCAGGGGACTTAGCACATCCTCCATGGGAGGGCTACCTCAGCTCTGCTGTCAACAGAAAGAGAAGACGGGGGGGGGGGGGGGGAGAGGGGGAAAGTATAGAGGGGGGGCTCTTAGTAATGTCACCTGCTCAGCCCGTCATGCCTTGAGAGGTCCAGCAGGAGAGGAGACTGCCCCCAGTCCCATCCAGGGCAGCCCCCCCAGCATCAGATTTACCTGTGTCAGCCAGGTGCACACACCCCCTCATTCACATCCTCAACCCATGCTCATCCTAGACCCACCCACCACATAGGAACACCTCATCCAAGGACCATCAGAGCCCTTCAGATGGTCCACAGCAAGGTGTACCCAGACACTCAGGCCCCTTCACCACAGGACACACATGAGCATAGGTACATGGTACACTCTGGCACCCAGACACATAAAACCCTGACCACAGTGCACATCTCTGACACCCTATAGCCACCCGACACCCACAATCCATACCCAGCCACACACTGGAGAGGCGGGGTATGGAATCGCACACCCACACTCCCTGTGAAGAGCCAAGGCAAAGGGGCCACGACAGCCTCACCTGACCAGCGGTGCCTATGTTCCTTACGAAAGACACAGGGCACACAGAATTTTTCTCTCTCGCACGCACACACACCGCACACACAAGCACATCATATCCACTCACAGACAGTCCACTCACCGCCCTGTTTTCCACACCTATCATCTCACACTTGGCACGTCCTCCTAGCCAGGGCTGAGGAGGGGCTCTGGGGCTCTCAGCCACTGGCGTGGGACCCTCAGTCCTCACCTGGGGTGGGGGAGAGCAAGGTTTCCGCGGCCGCTCCCTTCTCTTCCCCTCTCCCTCCCCCACCTCCAGTCCCTGCCACCGGCTACTGCATTGCAGGCACCGCCCGACACCTCGTGAGCAACTGGGCTGGACTGGGGGCCTGACCCCACGGCCCTGCCAGTCCCGGACAGCGTACCAGGCTGCGCTAAGGGACAGGGACGCGTGGGTGTGGGGGGGTCACAGGCGCTGACGTCACGGGGCCAAAGAGGATGGTTGAGGGGGCGGCGAGGGCAAGGGGGCTCTCCTACCTACCTGCCCACCCACCCCTGCCTTAACCTGAGCGGACCCCGAAGCCTCGACCGCAGCCAGAACGCTGTCTCCCCAATGACGTCATTGCCGAGGGGCTCCGGGGCTTTCCGTCCCTCTCCGGGGGTCGCCCCTCCACGTGTCCCCTTCACCTCTCCACAGCCTCGGCTCCGTCCCCACCACACGCCGCCCGTACCTCCTCCCGCAGCGGCTCGCCGTCCGGGATGAGCGCGGGCGCCTCCCCGCCGTCTCCACCTTCGCCCTCCGGCATGGTGTCCTGGGTGCTCCGGCTGCCGGGCCCGGGCCCGGGGCATGATAAGCAGGGGGCGCGGAGGGCTGCGGCGCGGCCCCGAGGGGCGTCCGCTCGGCTCGGCGGCCGCTGAGGAGTGCGCCGAGCCCAGCCCGAAGCCAGCCGGAGCGCGGCGGCGTTGGCGGCCGCGGTGCCCGGCGCCCCGCC